TTGTACTTTTACTCAAGTGAATGTTTAAAGGCAGCACTTCTACTTTTACTTGAGTAATATTTTACCTTGAGTATCTTTACTTTTACTCAAGTACATGGTATGTGTACTTCGTCCACCACTGTCGGTTGATGGGTCAGTCGTAATAAGACTGAAGAGGTGTAAGTTAATGCTTTCTTTCTGAGACCTCAAAACTTAACATATCCCACATAAATCTTAACATATCTCACACTGATTCACCATAAAGAGATTCCAGAAGAGCAGGTGACTCAAGAGGGAATGCTGAAGTCACAAGTGAAGCATGCGGCTCTAGAGGAATCACAGGAGGAAACACTCATTCAAGACTATAGGATATGGGGAGTCATAACTGATCCAAGCAGACTTTGAGAACGTAGAGGAACAGGGGAAAAAAGCAGGTGAAACATAATCAGAGACAGGGGGTTCATTTAATCCAATAAACTGATCTGTGAGTTAAGATTTGTACAATAGTCCAGATTTATTGGAGAACTTACTCATATCTACTATCTGTAGCTCATTGGTTCAAGCCAAATGAAGAAGAGCTTTAATGTTCATAAAGGCTTGATTATGCTGTGAAAGTGGGATTTACGGCTAATTGGAGAGACATGAGCCGAGGTCTCAGCAAAGTAACTAATCTCTTCATGATGATACACATCACATTTTGGTTCTCTTTATCAGTGTAAATTTACCATCTAAAATGCTATAATTACAGGGGTCTTGGTTGAAAAACTAGCCCTCAGGCATTGTCTCTCTCTCCTTCAGAATAATTCACCACAGCTCATTGACACTTGAGTTCCTGACTTTATTTATTTATTATATTTATCTTTTTTGGTTCCCCAAAGAACATTTCAGTGATCAGTTCTTAAATGAATCTTTTTTTTCTAGTGTGTAGAATTTAGGTTCTCATTTTTTGTTTAAGTATTTTTTTTTCAAATCTATTTACATTTTATTGAAGCTCTGATTTCATTTTTTATTTCAGCAGTGGTTTTTAATAGTTTTAGTTTCAGTTAACAACAATGATCACAGTGAGGAATAAAGAAAAGCCATTATTTAAAAGGGACCCCATAAACAATAATAGTTATAACAATAACATAATAAAATCAATAACACTGATCCTCAGATATTTTTCATTTTCATAATTGATTTATATTTTTATTTATATTAATACTTAATTATAATATTTTGTAAGACACAGACATAGCAAGACTTACACTGTGCACTCTAATAGAAATGTGCAGCCTGCGACATTCACACCTCCATTTACCATCTCCTTCTCAGCTGTCACACATGCCCTTGTGATTACAACGGGACGCTTTTAATCTCAATGACTGTTATCTCATCATACCCTTAACAGAAGTCGATATGGAGCAAATGTCAACAGGGCACCGAGACCTTGAGTGCTACTAACAAACCTCAAAGACAGACAGAGGGAATTTGAACTTTAGCACTCTGTCAGCATCTCGCCTAATTCAATGAACTTGACAGTTAATAAAGTGCTTTATATTCGCCCTTCTTCTCATACATAAAAGCCTACCACACCAATTAGCTTAAATTCACTTCTTTTTCTCCTCTCCCTTTTCTTTTCATGCTCTTGAGCCTGCAGAAAGCGCCATATTCCAATCATTTGCATTATCCAGAGAATCTGCTTTGAAGTTGTGAGATACTGTAAGAAAAAGGGCTGCACTTATCCTGCAGAAAAAGAAAACCATTCAAAGCCTCTAAATACTCTGGAACAGATGTACATTATCATTGGATTTGCGTTTTCGCCTCTTTGCTCCTGTATGGGTAATGGTGTAGCGTGCAGTCGCGTGTCCCTCACATCCTCTGTGTTTAGCATCTCCTCTCAACAGAAGCTAGCACCCCACTGGGCCAATCCGCACTTCAAAGCACTGTGTCTATCTACAGGAGACAAAGCACACTCCACACATATGGAAGCAGCCTCCTCACTCACGCTCGAGTGAGTCAATAGCATCATTCGCTTGCTCGCTCGCTCACTGTCTGTTTGTTTTTGTGACACAGAGATATGGCTCTTTCATACCTACACCCCTCACCACACAAATCCAGCACCCTATTTGAACCTGGTGTCACTTTCATGTACTCCTGAAAATATTTGTTGAGTTAAGGAGAAATAGAGAGAGAGGAAATTAGGTTCTAGTAGCATTCTAGTAGGCCTAGCTCAATTGTTAGAGCATGGCGCTATAGCAACGCTAAAGGGTCATGGGTTTGATTCACAGGAAACACACATGCTGATAACAAATTGATACATTGAATGCACTGTAGCTTAGGCTAAATGTATATTTCTGGTGTAGACAACACCGAAAAAGCTGTTCTGTATAATATTAGCCTAAATAGAATTGGTCTTTGGTTAGAGATATTCTCTCTCACATTATGCCGTCACAAAATATTTAAGCTGTAATCGATCCACTCAAACCTTATGCTTCATTATTTAACTTCTGGGCGTACTGTAGCCTACATGTAGTCCTATTGCTCTGCTACTGCATATTGTATTTATTTATCACAAATTAAATTTCATAATATACCTTTCCAAAGCGTGGGGTCGGTAAGATTTGCATTCAATTATCAAAACAACATTACAAACGTTTTCGTTTTTTTTTTTTTTTTTTTTTTTTTTACAGTTCTTTAGAACTTCTATTAAACAAATAATCCTGGAAAAAGGTATCATGGTTTCTACAAAAATACTTTTTTAACATTGATAATAGGAAATGTTTATTGAGCAGCACATTAGTATATTCGAATCATTTCTGAAGGATCATGTGACACTGAAGACTGGAGTAATGATGCTGAAAATTCAGCTTTGCAATCACAGGGATAAATTACACTTTAAAACATTATTAAGAGAAAACAATTATTTGAAATTGTAATAATATTTTTGATCAAATAAATGCAGTCTTGGTGAGCATAAGAGACATCAAACTTTTAAACAGATGGAGATGTGTTAGTAGCCAGTTGTAACTTAAAACTTAAAACTCCTTGGCCATGTGTAAGACCACAGCTGTGGGAAATATTTGAAGCGAGACATGCAAACAACATAGATATCAGAGAGCATGCAAAAGTATTTGCACTTAAAGTAGAAAAAGATGGAGTGTACATGCATGCAAAGAAATCATCAGAAACATTCTCAAAAACAACAGGCAAAGAAATCAGGGCCACCCACTCAGTAAGCAACAGTTCAGCTTTTAATGAAATATTTTCTCTTGGCACAGGTCTGCTGTTAAATAAATAAAGCAATTATTTCCATCCATCTATATAAACTAAAAAAAAAAATAAACATGAAAAATTGTTAGGAAAGTCACAAATTATCTGTACTAGTGTTCAGGAGAGGCATGAAATGCTACGACATTGTGTTATTTATATACAAGCCTCTCCATGAATCACTTTCTTGGATTCTGAGGGAGTGTGTTACACACTCAATCACACCAAACAAAAGCACAACATAAATCGAGAAATGTTATAGGTACAAATGTCACTATAGAAAATAGCCGATCATCCAGATAAATAGCGCAGAATCAGTCTAAAACACTGGTAATCACCAAAGCGGCCAACTCATGTTGTATTTACAACCATCAGGTCTCAACTGATCCTATCAGACATCTATACAATACCAGTGTTAAAAGATAAACAAGAACACTGCAGGACATTCATGAAATATTATTATAAATGAACCTACTGCCTACTGTGCATTTAGATGTTGCGCACATGTGCCGTTCTTAAACTTTTCATTTACTCATGAAGCCATGGGTTGGTTTTAGCAGCAATAATTGTTTAAGTAATGGTCAGAATCATTTAAAATGGCAACATCTCATTCTATCTCACTGCAAGGAGAGAATGAGAAAATGAGAGGGAGAAATAAGCTACACAGCACACATTCATTCCCCAGCAACAGCGAGACTGAGTGAAGGTTACTAGCTGTAATGAGACCACCCTGAAGTTGCAGGTGGGTTTTCCAGAGTCTCGTGTAGTGTGATGCTATCACATTTCCACCATCCTACTGAGCAGAAGAGTCAACTGATCTAACGCTAAACATATTAGGAAGTTGAACAGGTTCTAACCAAACATAATGAACACCTCTCATCACTGACAAAATTCTTTCAAAAATTTTGTTTGACTGCTGTCCATGTTGAGGCCAAAAATCTTAAGCGCCAAACTGGTACCACATGGAATTAAAGTTGATTTTTTTTACATTTAATGTGTTTCTGTGTTTAAAAATCAAACAAATCAAAGAAGAGAGATTAAATCAATTATATCGGACTCACTTGGATTTTTAAAACACCTGCTGTGAGTTTCAACACACACACACACACCTGCTTGAGTTTGATCGAAGGCTTCTCTGTTTCGTAATCTTCCGTAGGGCTGGTTTCAAATGCACACGCACTCATTAACTCTCTGTCAGTGGGGTATTGGTGAGTTATGGGAGGGCTGGAGACTCCTAGGCGGCGATACTGTCATCCTGCCCCTGAGGAATGAGACAGCTGCCACACACACACCCTCTAGATGATTTGGGATACATCGAACCTAAAATAGATTCATAATGTACTATTTAAATGCTGTTTAAAACTGCTGCAGGGAGCAGATGAACTCCAAATCAACCAGACTTGTTTTCTCACTTCAGCCAATAAGTGAGCACTTCTGAGCTAAAGGCACTACCATACTGTCTACAAGATCCTAATTCAGTCTGAGGACATATTATTGGATTCTGAAAGAAATTAAACAGTCCCAAAGGTAATTTTCTACCAAAATATCCTTACAGTTCAGTGGTTTACTGCTCCCTTCAAAACAGATTATATTGTCTTGTCAAATCAATGACTCAAACATGAACAAATTAACCTGAGAAATGAAAATACTATTTTTCCTTGGCAGAACAGATTCCTTTACACTTAAGAAGGTCAAAATATGACAACTTGAATTATCTTATTACTGAACTGAAAATAAGGAAAAGTTGAAACCACAACTAAACAAGCAGAAGATAAAATATTATGTATATATTGGGTCAAACAATATAAACTCTATTCAAAGTTTCCCAATCTTTTGATTTGACTTGCCATAAACATGACAGGAATATGTTTTTCAAATAAATTATTTTTTAACAAATTTCAGAACATTATTATACAATCATCAGAAGATTATTTTAAGATCTCGTATTGTATGATACACATAATAACACTATAAACTCTGATGCCTAGTGGTCTTACAATGCAATTAGCTTAAAGTTACGGGGACAGGAAAACACACACAAAAAAAAAAAAATAATAATATAAATGTTTCCGTAATAAAGCTTACAATGGATTTAAATCCAATACATCTCAACATAACTGCAGATTGGTGGCATATTAGAACATACAGACAAATAAAAATAAAATCTGAATAATAAAAAATTATATCAATAATACCGATAATCATAATAATACTAGAGGTAGCAGCTGATTATGATGCTCTGTTTTCTTCATGTAGATTGGTAGAGTGTAGTTCTCATTCTGTCCTTCAACAAAGTCCTCTCTGACGGTTTGAGCGTCTTTACAGGCTCTGTCTGTACATGTGTCCTGTATTGCATTTTTAAAGGTGTTGATTCAGATCTGATGTTTCGGAGAGAAGCTCTTCATAGATAAAGTGTCTTGAATGCAATGGCACAAGAAGTGCTTTTCAAGTGGTCTTCAGTGGAAAAAAACAAACAAAAAAACAGGATAAGTGTAAAAAAAAGACACCTTAGGCACAAAAAAGAGCAGATCCCCCCCCCCCCCCCCACCACTCACTCACTCACTCACTCACTCACTCACTCACTCACTCACTCACTCACTCACTCACTCACTCACTCACTCACTCACTCACTCACTCACTCACTCACTCACTCACTCACTCACTCACTCACTGTAAATTACAAAACCAAGGAATTGTATTCCTCAAAAGTGATTTAACTATTTGACAATTCTTCATTTAACAGGGCTGACCACCTTTTCAACCAAACAGAATAATCAGATAAGCATTATGAAAGTGAGATATCGAGGGAGGGAGAGAAAATAAGGGAAGCAGACAGAGTGAGAGAGAGAGAGAGAGAGAGAGAGAGAGAGAGAGAGAGAGAGAGAGAGAGAGAGAGAGAGAGAGAGAGAGAGAGAGAGAGAGAGAGAGAGAGAGAGAGAGAGAGAGAGAGAGAGAGAGAGAGAGAGAGAGAGAGAGAGAGAGAGAAGGGAGATATAGAGCATTTATGTAGAACGTAAACCTGTCCTAAGCTGACTAGGCCTACATCAACACATTCAAACCAACACACATGACCTCTCACACACACTTATATATACAAATGTGAACACACTGTCTGCCACTTTGGCATGAACATGATGCCTTGTGTCCTTCTCAGCCTCAACGTGACCATAACCAAGAATATTTAGGATCATTTGTTACGTTCCTTATGTTTCTTCTTATTATAACCCTTCTAAGAGGGTTCACTCTTCAGGACTGATAAAAGTGATGATAGTGATGATGATGTTCATGATGATGATGATGCTCATGCCGCTGGACCACCTGAGCTAGTCCTCCTTCATACAGAACCAGACTGGGGAGATCCCTCACATGCTCTTTCTCCACTACCGGGCCGGACGTCACGGTCGGCCCCAGAGCCCGATAGTGCAGCCCTTCTTTAGGCCTCTGCTTGTGCCGTCGGTACGGGCCTGAGCTTTGGTGCGGAGGGGTCTGCTTGGGGACCGCTGGGGGAGGTGGCGCTCCTCTCCTCATCACCCGACCAGCAGAGGCCTGAGTGGGCGGTGGGCAGTGCGTTTTGGGGGAACGGAGTGCGTGTGTGTGCCGGGTGAGGACGGCAGGAGGATCCGTAGAGATGGTCTGTGAGCGCCGATGGTGAGCGGGGTAAACGTGGCAATTCTCGGGTTCTTGAGATCGTGAGCGTGTCTGATTGGATGAACGTGTGGTGTGGTTGGGTTTTGCTGGTTCTGTGGCAGGAGCTGCTAAAGAAAGCACAAAATAATTATTTAATTGTTATTATTATAACTATGTTAGGTATTCATCACCACACACACACACACAATAAATACAGTACACTACAAATGCTGGATCACACAAGACAGATCCAAACTCCAGGTGTAAGTAGGGCCTAAATGATGAAGATGTATTGGCTCCATTTACTCTATGTGATTAAGATCTTACCTGTTCCAAAGCGGGATGTGTAGTTTTCAATGCCGGCCAGGTCAAGGTAATGGTTTCTTCTCTCCAAGTTCTCATCCACACAGTGCCGCTGGCAACCCTGCTGGTTGTGGTGGTCAGCATGGTAACGCCTAATACAACAACATTGTGTTGAAATGACTGCAAGTACATTGCTCTGAGATTGTGTACACAAAACAGGCTTGAACCCATCATTGTCCATTTGTCAATTTCTTTAAAGTTTATATTCTTTATGTGTTATGTAATTCCGGACACTAATGTGTAGTGTAATAAGTTAATTTCATAATTACCTAAGAAAAGCTCTTGACTTTTTCTCTGAAGGCTTGGAGTCCTCAATGCACTTTTCTCCCTTGTGCTTGGGATGGGGAGTGTCTGATTGAGAGAGAGAGAGAGAGAGAGAGAGAGAGAGAGAGAGAGAGAGAGAGAGAGAGAGAGAGAGAGAGAGAGAGAGAGAGAGAGAGAGAGAGAGAGAGAGAGAGAGAGAGAGAGAGAGAGAGAGAGAGAGAGAGAGAGAGAGAGAGAGAGAGAGAGAGAGAGAGAGAGAGAGAGGGGTCTTTATCAAAGTGAACGTCGTTGAGTTGCACAGCATCACACAAGCGCACACATACTGCAGCAGCTTTAAAGACCAACCAAAATAAGAAAGAAACCTTTGTTCCCTGTTTTCCATTTACTTTGAAGGTTCATAAAAGAAGAAAAAAAAACAATGCTTCATTTATTCTATTTTGAACCTCGGGCCTCATATAAATCTAAAAAACACACACTTGTGAATTTGCATGAAGACAGCTGCTGTTCAAAGACTCTTCTCTTTCAAATACATGACGGGTATAAATAGCCCAAATGACAGCACTAAACAAACAGACAGTCTTCAGACTACTTTCTGTTCACCATCACATTGTTTTTTTACCAAGTTACACAGTAAGAAAGTGGCTAAATGTGGATATATTTATTTTTCAAATAGCAAAAGACTTTCAGAGAAGGATAAGATAGCACTTTCCAAAAGAAATCCAAAAGCTCAGGGCTGCAGATGTTTGTGTTGTTTCTCCCTCTCGTCTTATGCCTTTGACTATGAACTCATCTTACAAGATATACAATGACATGGAAGACAGGAAAAAGGAGGAGGGCAATAGTGTAGGTGGTAGACAGCCAAAAATTCTGTCATTATCTACTCACCCTCATGTCGTTTCATGGTTTTTCTTTTTAAATGGAGCACAGTGTAGCTTCTGGACCAATCAGACACACACAAATTAATCATTATATTTAATGAAGAATCCAACAAACTCACTCTTCCAACAAAGTTCTATGAAACTTCCCCCACAAATGAAGCCTACCCACTGGCAGAACCTGGTGTCCTGTTACAGGACACATTAAGACTGATAACAAGCTTTACGACCCAACGGAATTTCCAGAGAGTTGTGACACTCTCTTAATTCTTGCTGAGAAGAAGAAATGAACCCTTTTAATCCTATATATTCCATATACACTCACCGGCCACTTTATTAGGTACACCTGTCCAACTGCTCGTTAACACTTAATTTCTAAGCAGCCAATCACATGGCGGCAACTCAGTGCATTTAGGCATGTAGACATGGTCAAGACAATCTCCTGCAGTTCAAACCGAGCATCAGTATGGGGAAGAAAGTTGATTTGAGTGACTTTGAACGTGGCATGATTGTTGGTGCCAGAAGGGCTGGTCTGAGTATTTCAGAAACTGCTAATCTACTGGGATTTTCACGCACAACCATCTCTAGGGTTTACAGAGAATGGTCCGAAAAAGAAAAAACATCCAGTGAGCGGCAGTTCTGTGGGCGGAAATGCCTTGTTGATGCCAGAGGTCAGAGGAGAATGGCCAGACTGGTTCGAGCTGATAGAAGGGCAACAGTGACTGAAATAACCACTCGTTACAACCGAGGTATGCAGCAAAGCATTTGTGAAGCCACAACACGCACAACCTTGAGGCGGATGGGCTACAACAGCAGAAGACTCCACCGGGTACCACTCATCTCCACTACAAATAGGAAAAAGAGGCTACAATTTGCAAGAGCTCACCAAAATTGAACAGTTGAAGACTGGAAAAATGTTGCCTGGTCTGATGAGTCTCGATTTCTGTTGAGACATTCAGATGTTAGAGTCAGAATTTGGCGTAAACAGAATGAGAACATGGAACCATCATGCCTTGTTACCACTGTGCAGGCTGGTGGTGGTGGTGTAATGGTGTGGGGGATGTTTTCCTGGCACACTTTAGGCCAATTGGGCATCGTTTAAATGCCACGGCCTACCTGAGCATTGTTTCTGACCATGTCCATCCCTTTATGGCCACCATGTACCCATCCTCTGATGGCTACTTCCACCATGTCACAAAGCTCTAATCATTTCAAATTGGTTTCTTGAACATGACAATGAGTTCACTGTACTAAAATGGCCTCCACAGTCACCAGATCTCAACCCAATAGAGCATCTTTGGGATGTGGTGGAACGGGAGATTCGCATCATGGATGTGCAGCCGACAAATCTGCGGCAACTGTGTGATGCCATCATGTCAATATGGACCAAACTCCCTGAGGAATGCTTCCAGCACCTTGTTGAATCTATGCCACGAAGAATTGAGGCAGTTCTGAAGGCAAAAGGGGGTCCAACCCGTTACTAGCATGGGGTACCTAATAAAGTGGCCGGTGAGTGTATATAACCATGTGATAAATGTATTAACATGTATCTAATTTCCCATCTCATAATTTTCCTTTTATGTGGTTTGGCCTATGTATTCATTCTCTCTTCTTAACTATTTTGGTCTGAGACATGACTTGCATACTATGGTTAACCAAAATCATATGTGTAGCATGTTTAGTCTCTATAAACTCCAATCTTCGTCCCCCATTTGTTAATTTACATTTCATTTCGCTAACTTTATGACGCATTAGTATTATGCGAATCTTGTAGATTCTTTTCGTAAACACCCAATGCAATTAAACATTCAAATGCCCTGCTAGGGTCATAAAAGGGGTCGTGAAAAACTCCCTCCAAAGGGGCAGCTTCGCATTGGCTCACGCACATCCAGAGGGTGTGACGTCTTCACGCTTTAAAAATCACTGATAACAAGATCAACTCTCTCTTGCTCCTTTTGCTCTTGTCTCTTGTCCTCTTAGCCTCTGGCTCTCTGACTCTCTTGGTCCTTCCTGAGAAGTCCTAACGTGAAGATGAGGCTGAACTAGAAGTCCCTCAAGGACTCCCAAGCTTGCGCCAGGCTGCAGCCTTGTCTTTCCATTTACCAAAGATCCTCTGACCCCACTGGTTCTCTCTCATCAAGACCACATCAGCAAAGATCAACTGGAGCCTCAACAAATTGCATCAGGACAGTTTAATGCAAATGGACGAGACATGCAAGTAACAAACGTAGTCTCATTATTTGATACATTAAGTATCCTTACCCCTTTTTAAGAACGGCGTGTTAGAACTAAACTGATGGTTTGCTCAGGCTGTCGATCTGCTGAAAATCAAACAATGCTATAACTTCTTGCTTTCATGTATTCTGCTTCAGGTCTCTTTCCCTTGGTAAACTGTATGCATGTATGTATGTGTATTTTAGAGTAGTCTAAATGTTTAGTCCAGTTAATAGTCTTTTTCATATCACACGTAAAGTTGTCTGTCTCTCAAGCTCATATCTGGAGTCACTAATCATAGATCTTGACTACTTGCTCTTAGTAGTACTTAGTAAGAAAGACATTTCCCATGCCCCGGAAATGTACATTTCTATTAATGAATTAATAACCAATATTGAGTGTTCACGGGATGAACCGAGTAATTGGTTGTAATGTTAATGTAGCTACATCAAGTTAACCCGATTAACTGATCCAAATATTCATAATCAATGGTTTGATTATGAATATTATGAATATTTGATTCATAATCAAATATTCATAATCAATGGTTTGAGTCCTATCTCACAGGTAGGTCCTTCAAGGTCACATGGAGAGGTGAGGTATCCAAAGCACATCAACTGACCACAGGGGTTCCTCAGGGTTCAGTTCTCGGACCGCTCCTCTTCTCCATTTACACCACATCACTGGGACCCATCATACAGGCACATGGTTTCTCTTACCATTGCTATGCTGATGACACCCAGCTCTACCTCTCATTTCAACCAGATGATCCCACAGTAGCTGTACGGATCTCAAGCTGTCTGGCGGACATCTCAGCATGGATGAAGGAACATCACCTGCAGCTCAACCTGGCAAAGACTGAGCTTCTCATCCTCCCTGCCAATCAGTCTCTACAGCACGACCTCAGTATCCAGCTAGATTCATCCTCAATCACCCCATCAAGGTCGGTCAGAAATCTTGGGGTAATCTTTGATGATCGGCTGACCTTCACAGACCACATTACAAAGACAGCTCGATCATGCAGGTTTGCTATGCACAACATCAGAAAGATCAGGTCTTTCCTAACTGATCATGCAACACAACTTCTCGTCCAGGCCTTAGTCATTTCTAGGCTTGATTACTGAAATGCTCTTCTGGCTGGACTTCCATCATGTGCAACTAAACCTCTACAAATGATCCAGAATGCTGCAGCTCGTCTTGTCTTCAATGAGCCCAAAAGGGCCCACGTCACTCCTCTGTTCATCTCTCTGCACTGGCTACCACTCGCTGCTCGCATCAAGGTCAAGGCTTTGACGCTTGCTTACAGATTGACCACAGGATCAGCTCCCTCCTACTTCCACTCACTACTACAAGTCTACATCCCTACCAGAAGCCTACGATCGGTCAATGAGCGACGGCTCGTGGTACCATCACAGCGGGGCACAAAATCACTCTCCAGAACATTCTCATTCACGGTTCCATGCTGGTGGAATGATCTCCCCACCCTCATCCGGAATGCAGAATCCCTGACAGCATTCAAAAGACAACTGAAAACTCATCTCTTCCGGGAGCACTTAACATAAAAAAAAAATAAAAAAAATAAAAAAAATAAAAAAAATCCTTTCCTCTAAATCCTCGCTTGCCTGACTTATGCTACTCCGAGCTATGTCTGAACTTTGTATTTTGAGCACTTCTTGCGTTGTTTTTGCCTCTTCACGATGACTCGCTTGGTTTAGTCCTCAGTTGTAAGTCGCTTTGGATAAAAGCGTCTGCTAAATGACTAAATGTAAATGTAAATTATAACAAGTTATGATTGATTATTAATATTTTATAGAGCTAGTTTGCTACAACAGAATTTGGTATTTAACAACATGTCTAGGCTGCACTGGTCCAAAGAAAATGAGACTGTGTGTCAAGCTCAAAAAAGAAAAACATAAAAGTATCATGGCAAATTACACACTGAACCTATACATTTCAGTCTGTCCCTTACATAAACCTCTTGCACAGCTTCAGAAGACTCAGAATACAGTCCTATTGACAGAATCAACATTCTGCTAAACCTCTTCTTTTGTGCTCCATGTCATACAGGTTTATACAAATATGAGGGTGAGTAAATGATGACAATTTCATTTTTGGGTCTCCCTGATATTGCTCAGAAAAATATCTCTTAATCATGGAAAACACACTCTCTGTGTACCTGTGTTGGTCTGGGTGACGTTCCTCCATCTCTGGCTGGAGTCTGGGGCGACGGAGAGTTTCACCCTGAGGGTCTTACTGCTGCTGGGGGAGTGATTCACTGATGAGTCCACCACCTCATATATAGTGTGCAGTAGACTGGTGATGTCCTGGACATAGAGAGATAGGGAGGAAAAAGAAAACACGTTAAATTAAGAGATCTTCACTGACACGAGACAGTTGATTAGTCTTTTATATGCTGTGTGATATATAGGATACATGCATTATTCATAATTCATACACAGGCATGTCCATAATAACGTGTTAATCAGAATCTCCATAGCCTCAGGGAGGGTAAACAGATGCTGACGGCAGTAGAGAGCACATGTACACGCAAACATGAAACATTCTATACATCTGAGGCTATTTAGCATGTGAAAATGAAATGTAAATGCAGAGCAACTATGAGGCTGAGGGAAACAGTGAGAAAGTGAGAGTAAAAGAAAGTGAAAAGTGAGAGATGCAGAGACAAGACAGACAGGACAGAGACACGGTGGAAGAAAAAAGACAGAGAGCAACATCCATTTATTGTGTCCTGTTAGTGTTGTGTTACTGGGTTTTCCCATGACAAAAGACATCAGTCACTGTCCTTACTGCGCATAGGTCTCAGACGTTTTACCTCTCTCGTGACCTTGCCGTTGTTATCGAAGTCGTAGAGGGTGAAAGTCCACTCCTGCCTGTTATCTTCTTCAACTGATACAGCGCACTCCAACTCCTGATTAATAAACAACAATGATAATCATTGTTTTAGTAACACACACATTAAAATAAAATGTTCAGCAGTCATTACTCCAGTCTTCAGTGTCACATGATCCTTCAGAAATCATTCTAATGTGCTGATTTACTGCTCAAGAAACATTACTTATTATTATCAAAGGTTGTGCTGCTTAATATTTTTATGGAAACTGTAATACATTTTTTTATTCTTTATTGAATAGAAAGTTTAAAAGAACAGCATTTATTTGAAACAGAAATATTTTGTAACATAATAAAATGTCTTAACACTTTACTGCCACTTTTGATTAATGCATTAGTCTTGTGTGTGTGTGTGTGTGTGTGTGTGTGTGTGTGTGTGTGTGTGTGTGTGTGTGTGTGTGTGTGTGTGTGTGTGTGTGTGTGTGTGTGTGTGTGTGTGTGTGTGTGATTAATATACATCTTAAAAAAAAAAATGTCTGACCCCACATTTTTAAAAGGTAGTGTATGCCCTACCCAGTATGTACAGTATGTGTGGTGTATACTGACCTCAAACTGTAATTGTTTGTGTGGGCCGACGGTGGCAGAGCCTTCAGTGTCCTGCATTCTCTCTTCCACACTGCAGCTGTCAGTCTTCTCAGGGGGCAGAGCCACTGCAGAGGGACACACATTCACATAATGTTGAGGAAATATGAACTCAAGTAAGATATTTCATATGTTTTTTTTAATTTAGTCAATAATGCAGTCCTCTTGGACCTATAATGACATCTTCTGTATGTAGCATCACACAAAAGCACAAATGTGTTCAGTTACAGATACTATTGTAGAAATGTGCTATTCATAATCAGATATTTGAATAAATTATTCAAAAAGTGAACGATTCCAATAATGGGGTTAAGATAAAGCCAGTAATATTTGGCTGGTCAAGTGATCTAATGGGTTTTCACAGACCCCTGATATGTCTTCATCTAATGTGACTGTACATAATTTTAAACATTGTTCAAAAGTGCTATTCATTTCTTAGTGTTTTTTTAATGAGGAAAATACTGAAATGCACCTTTAAAAAAAAAAAGTTATTGTGCATGTGTGACAGAAAATAGACAGAAAAGGGAAAGAGTTACGTGAGAATGCAAGCACCTAGTTATTTTTTTTAATCCAACCATGTCATCTACTGCAGTCGTCACAGACACTAAAGACAGTCACACAGTCGTATAGTATGGGACATAAAATAAATCACACTTTATACAAAATTTGCTATCTTATCCTCAATGTTAAACTCAGAAGTACATGTTCCTCGACACACTTTGTTAGAGTCTGGGAAGGCATTTATTGACATGTGGCAGACACGTTGCTCATGCCCAAATCTCAATTCAGTACCATTTTTTTGCGCAAAGGCAGTGTTTTCGCAATGGATCGCCTGAAAGAATCTTTACAAGCGAGCCAACAACAACAACAATGGTGAGGAAAAACTCTCTAAGATGTTTAGGTAAGAAGATGAAGAATTGAGAGGAACCAAGACAGCATGTAAATGTAAACAAATGTAAGCAGTTTAAATCAAAACACAATGTGGTAGTTTCAACATCAATTACATTAAAACGGCACTGGTTTCTTGCATGTAACTTTGACATGCCAAGTTTAAGTACAACTGAAATTTGGGTTCTTTGGCTAAAGGCAAGATTTTCAGTCAATAACCACTTTGAATTTTGGTCTGTAGCTATTGTAAAATTTTGAATATAGTCATATGAGGTTAGGTTTATGGTGCATTTTTACAGGGGGAAAAACGTCATAGAGGGTTAACCAAAAGACGTCAGAATTTTTGGGTGAACTATCCCTTTAAGAGCAGACTTCGGGAAATCAGCTATATGCCTGGATAAAGCTGTAAGTACCGTATAAATGCTTAAATAGACTAACTCCTGCCATCACAACCTAAGGCCAGACTTCAGAAACATCCCCGATATCTTAATTGTGTCTATGTCTGAAAACACAAGCAAATTTAAAGTGAGAAAGACAGAGTCTAACAGTGGCCCGTTCTGAAGTAGAGAATGCCAGTCAGGATTAATCCTGAACTCAATACCCAAATTTCAGAGGCAGTTTGTCTCTTTGTGTACTGTGGGTAATAAGACGGAGATGTTTTAAACGAGAGCAGATCTAACACAGCTCAGTGAGGACACGGCTCAGCACCAGGCTGGGTCCTGCAGGCTAAATCCTCCCCCCTGCCCCAAATCCCTGTGCTTTGAAGTTCCATTCTCAAACCTTTTGGCCCAGGATCAGTCCGTCTGTAAAACAGAATCTCTAATTAATTAAGCAAAGTCAAATCTGAAACAGTGTTTGTTGTACGAGCCAAAAGGATAGGCAGACACAACAATATCTCTCTCTGTCTTCTCTCTCACTCATTCACTTCTCCTCCGCTGATCTGCTCAGATCAAAGAGGACCTGTCTTGTCCCTCTGCAGCAAGAGGCAAGGGAGGATGAAAAAAGAAAAGAAAAGCACCAGAGGATGAGAGCAGTCGTACCCGGGGAGCTTTTACAGGTTTTTTGGAGGGAAACAGCGTCAGATCAGGGCTTTTGATCAGGGCCAGAAACTCAAAGGCAACGCTGAGCTCCAGGGCCAAAGCCTGCTTGCCAGCCAGCTCACAATATACAGGAGCTGTTTATCTAGAGAACTAACAAATGGTCACAAAAAAACTACACACACACCATACACACAAAGGAAGTGCTAACTCTCACAGCAGTGGTCAAAGTCCTGCCCCACAGAGTGATGAGACAGCCAAACCCGCAACAGAGCACTGGTGACGGAGCTTAAATACAGCACTATACAACACAGAGGACAGCTTGGCGGCGTCCCAAACGTGGCTTTGAATCTAGGTTCACCTGGAGTTCACAATAAACTGTGAGGTGACTGAAGCGCAGTGTGTTTCCTCAGCATGCATGTTTGGTACAGGCTAAAGTGCAGTGAAACTTTAACAACAAGTTATAATTTCATGTTGCTAGGTCAAAAATGCTAGGTAAAAAAAAAAAAAAAAAAAACCTTGCCTAAACCTTAGATAAGAACCTTGATCCCAATCAGATGTTTTCATTACAACAAATGCAGTTGGAATACCGTTTCTTGTTGAAATTTCTTTTTTTGCATGTTACTATGAGCTTAAAGGTGCTATATGTAACTTTTCTTCTAAAATCTTTTTTTATTGCCTGTGTGTGAAGGGGTTGTAATCACACATTACAATGATCCACTTGTCGGGTTTTGCTATTACTTCTGAAGGCCAGTATTCCTATTTCTATGTGAAGTCTCCGGGTCGGATTTTCTGAGAAATCCATCGGATGTGACGTGCATGCGCGCTCCCGAGCCTCTCTCCTTTTTATATACAGTCTATGCGACGGCACTGCAGCTGACGACATGGAGTCTGATAACACCCAAACACGACCTGCCTCCAGCACACACACACTCCAACACAAACTCCACATAAATATGAAAAACAAAACAAAAATTTATCTGCTGAAGCTCGTCAGGCCAAACGTGAATCGGATCGACTTAGGACGAAAACACGGATCAACATCGGCAGAGCGTTTGAATTATGGAGAGACCCCCGCTATTTTTATTGTGATAAATTACAAGTTTTCAGATATGCTGAAATAAATAATGGTAAACTGTAATGAAATAGCAAGGTAAACTACAACATATATGAGACATGAAATGAATACAAAAGACTGTTTCAGGATAACAAAAAGTGGGTGCTTTAGGATGTAACTTTTATTTTATGTACTAGATCTACTGTCTAACGTCACTCATCCCACTACTACCATATTGTTTATAATCTACAAAACTACATCACTCCCATTAAAATCAAAGAAGCTGTTTACACTCCATTGTTTTGTTTTGTTTTTAATCAAGGAAGATTAAAAACTTTTTTTCCACAAATTTAAACACACTAGTATACAAACTAAACTAATATCTCACTTATGTTTGTGTATATGCCATGTGAAAATGTTATAGACACATAAACATATGATTAACAAAAAAATTGCATCGCTTTTTGTTTTACATTTTTACAGATCCAATAAAAAAGGTGCCAGATCCATTTCCAGAGGTAACAGATCCAGTATAATTTAACTCCTGACTATGAGGCAACCATAACACCACAAACACCTTAGCCAATCAAATCTCTCCTCGACTCACCTTTGACCCACACAGATATGAGCGGACCACTTACAAGCACACATACGCTGTAAATGTCGCACAGGAATCTGACCTTGCTGTAGCCTTTTGATTAATCAAATGATTCAATAAACATCACAAGAAAATAATCATTCTGTGCCAACACTGTGACTTCAACCAAACCTTTTCTTCTCACCACCATAGTGATAATATAGTATTTAATCCAGGGGTGAAATAATGAAACTGCTCTTTATATGCAAGAGAATATATGCAAGGATATGGTAAATGGTAAAAATGGACTGCATTTATATAGCGCTTTCACAGACCCAATGGCCACCAAAGCGCTTTACATATTGCCTCACATTCACCCATTCACACACCGATATAGTGAGATAGTTTACCTTCTAAACGATAATGTTCATCGCTGATGCCCTCAGCATAACCTTCATCCAGTGGGTCCTGCAGAGACAGAAAGGAAGAGAGCGTTAGGCCTCTCCAAAAGAACAAAATTATAATATGACACTTCTCAGATTAGAAAGAATGCCAAAATAATGCAATTATAGTATTTGAAACAACAAATTAACATATACATGTTTGGGTGTTTTTGTGCAATTTGTATTATAAAGACAGGAAATTGATGACAGGACATGATGCAGGCTGGATTTTAATTTGCATCCCCCACACGAGCACCTCAGCATGGGTGCGAACCGCTAGACACCCCCAAAGACTAGATGGATGACATCACAGATAGAGTGAAAAACCTAGAGTAATACTGGAAGTGTCTCATCTAACATATTAAACCATTCTACCCATACAACACACACACAAGCAGCAGTCTACAACATTTCTGTCATCTTCCAAACCAGCAATCAGTCTAGAAGAAGACTATTGTCTCAACACACCTGCTACCTTTGTCTCATTTTAACACTCCAGCTGTCTGGATACTAACAATTCATTTCTCTGGCCCAAAGACTGACCCGACAGCATCCGCTGAAGCTCTGCAGCTGCATGTGTGTACATGCTGTTTTTCTGCCAGTGAGGGGATGCTTTGTCTTTATCCACACTAGACAAGCACACTAAATGTCTTGCTGTAGTGCCTCCAGCCATACACTGGCCGCTAGAGACACAAAGCCGCGCACACAAACACACACGTTCACCATAATGCTCGAGAGGTTAGCCAACAGCATGCGAGGGGAATGTGCTAATTATGCGTTGTCTGGATGATGGATGGGATGTATTATAAATATGACTTCTTTTCAGTTGGTTAAATTGAGAAGCAGTCAGCAGAATTTCTCCTACTATTTCTCTTTAACATTTGTCTTTCTCTCTACCATTCAAGGTCAAGTTTGGCTAAAGCACTACTTGGCCCTTTCAAATGAGTGTGCTGTGTTTGAGAGTGTGGATATGTGTTGTTACGCAGGACATTGAGGACTGTGAGAAACTCACTAATCCCTGAACTTCACCTCTAAGTGGCGTTTAGCACAATCACTGTGGCGTCTGTCCGCCCCTCTCAGTCACTCTTAAAAAGCTCTATAGTCCACCAGTCTCCACCATATATTAAAACCTCTTTTCTTGTTTCTCTGCTTCTGTTTTCTCACCCCCACCCAAGGTGAAACTTGCACAGCCCTTACAATAATACAAATAATAAAATTAAATGATATTTAACAATAATTACATTTTGGATTTCACAAGCCCAATGATGTTTCACAATGCATTGCAAAAACAATAAAAAAATGATTAGAAACATAACAATTAACAAATGAATGAAAATATTTAATTAGAGTTTTAGAAATACAGAGAGATTAATTCCACATAGATATTGATAAGACCTGAGAGTGAGAGTACTAGGGATATATAGGAATGAAAAATAAATACAAATAATAAATTTAAATTAAAATACATAATAATAATACATTTTGAATTAATTATAATTAAAGAAGTTATGAATAATTCATAACTTATGAACATAGTTATGAATCATTATTGTATATCAAATATTATATAAAAATGTTACACTTATTAAAATGTTAAAAAATATATAAATACACCATGGAATTACCCTGGTACATGTCCATGTTGCTTTTTAGATCCAGTCACCTTTCAAGCAAATAGTGGAGTGTGTCACTACATGGCACACAGACACACTGTACTACAGTGACCTTGACCACTGAAACAGTCCTTTTTAAATTACATGTTTTTGTACACTTACCATAACATCAGAGGTTAATTGGCTGAGGAGAGTGTAATCAATAGAGGCTGATCTCTCTTCAGCGGTGTAATGAAAGGCTGAAGTGGGATCTGTACACACTCAGTGCGTGTGAGGGTGAACATGTGCTTCAGGTCACTCACTAATGTATGGAGACTAAGTGCCATTTATAGCGCAATTGAAAAGTCACTGAGAAAAAAAGGGACAGAGTTTGCGTGCGAAGAGTAAGAGAGAAGGAAAGAGGATTTGATTAAAATAATTATCTTGTAATTTCACAGATGAAGTCTTGTGAGCAGGGGTGGGCGATCTGACCAAAATCTTACCTCATGATACGAGTAATTTTATTTAACTTCTTTAACACTGCATAGTCTTCAGTGTGTAAATTAAACACATTTATTCTTATTAAAGGTTCTTATTAAAGGTAAAGGTACAAAAGTGATTCAGTCAAGAGCAGTGAGAGATTTTCTCTCTTTAGTTGTTTGATTAACATTAAAGGTAGGGTAGGCAATTTTTTTATAAACACTTTTTGTTATTCTGGTTGAAGTTGAATTCAGACTCATATTAATGCGTTTCTATGTCAACACTATCAATGCTGAAATTAATCTGCAGCTGTCAGGTGGTATAAGAGCTCTGTAAGTCGTTTACGTTCATTATTTTTGTAGTGTAATGTGCTTTAAGACATGATGTATTTTAACGTCTCTTTTGACGCTTTGCTGAATCTGCTCTGGCTGTGCACGACCTGCGCTTTCATGTGTTTTGGAGGAGGCGTGGCTTTGGAGACGCTCTGAAGGGAGAGTGGGATCTAATGCTTTCAATGCTAGCCTGCTATTGCTAGCTTCTCCAATATTGCCTACCCTACCTGTAATAAAGAGACAGCAGCAGGTTTATTATGCTACTGTCACTTTAAGAGCGAATGCAAGGATCCAATATAATCATGCGTTTTCTTTCTTAACTGTTTACGTTCACTGAAGACATAAATTACTGTGTTTATGGGGATACTTACAAAGGCGGGCATTTTGACACATTAGTATGTGGCTTTAACTGTTGCCTAATTAGGTGGCAAAAAGAACTGTGCAGTATCAGTACCTACACGTTCTATGAGCAGTGGCTTCATGTGAGCACGTCTCTCAGACAGCGCTCAGAAACCATCTCTCCGACAGTGTGCACATTGGCTATAGCAAAATTAGTCCTCATTCAAATTATAAGCTTTCATGACCATGCAGCACAGCAATGTCAGGTGAGTGTTTAACCATGATAGAGACAATAGTCTCTATCTCTACCGGTTGACAAATTTCTACAGATTAATATTGTCTACCAGTATATTGCCCACCCCTACTTGTGAGTGACATTTTAAACAGAATGAAAAAAAAATCTGAGAACTTGTGTCCAGTGACAAACTCCTGGTGTGAATACATTCATATCCATATTTGTTACTGTCTTGTGTTTATAAATGTTTATAACAGATGGAACAATGACAATTCTGCTGTGGGTATTTTGCCTCAGCAGCATCATGAAAAGGCCTGTGAAACATAAACAAGGGCTTCACTCAATCTGTGCCAGCAACCAGAAACTCTTTCCCAGACACCATGTTTCACACTCTGTAAAACCAACTAGATCTTTTTGTTTTAACGTGAGCCAAAACAGGAAAGAAGAGAGGTTTGAGTACTTTACTACAAATGGATGGCCACAGAACCCAGTGCAACATTACTGATTTGCCATAACACATAAACACATACATCAAGCACTCCATTGCAGTTTTTGTTGGCCCTGTTATCAGTGGAATAAGCCTAAACAAATATTTCAATATGAAATTACAAATACAAGAATGAAATAAAGTAAAACTAAGAGATACAGAGTAATGCCCGGCACACATTGTGCAATTTGTACAATCTTTCCCAGCTGAAAGATGACCAATTTCTGTGGTCGTGGCTCCTAAACGGTGGTCGTATGTCATACAGTGAGAGAGGTTCAAAGATATCCTGTGATCATTTTCTGACAGTGAAAAACAATGGACCAATGGGGCCAGATCATTAACTTGAGGGCGTTGAGATACCAATGAGTGCTTAATACTATAGACTTAATGCTCCTCTAAACAAAAATGTAAATAAAAAAGCAGTTCTGAACGACTTAATCCTCACTAAATAAATATATTAATAAATGTAAGTTTGAAAAACTTGTATCTGTTTAAACTGTTTAACTGGTCCAAAACAGAAAATACCACTTGGCTAGTGCCCCCAAGGAGCTGGAGACTCCTGGGCTAGCTGTTATAACGAATAACCGCATCTTCTTGAGGGTAATTATTTGTGTGTAGCACAAAGAAGCACAACGTAGATGTTGGGTCTTGCCAGGTTAAACCTAGAAACACATACAAATACTTTGCCAAGTATCTGTAAGTGTATGTAATGGTAACCCCCAAGTGTCTGGACTGGCACATTAATATGTAAGGACTATGTAAAAAATACACAGGGAAAATTGCAAAGAGAAAGCCAGGAGATTTCTCACCCAGGTTAAGTATGGGGATATGCGTCTTAATTATATTACACATATGAATGTGGCCTTGTTCATTTTGTCATTATGGTATGTGTGTGAATGCATGTATGTGGGTAAGGGAGTGTTTGTGTGTGAGTGTGTGTGTTGTGGAAAGTCCCACACAACTCTGTCTGTATTTTCTGTTTGCTTGCCACGCCACAAGGGCTGATGGACAATTTACAGAGCTGATGACAGTTCTGCATGATCATGGGCCAGACGCACACACGCACACATAAAACACACAGACAAAATCAGTCGCCAAGCCTTCACTACGCCATAGCCTTGGAACGTCATCAAACCCAGGAAAACTTAATTAAGACCATCGCCTCTCTCTCTGTCGCCTTCTCACTCCTCCTCTGTCACCTTCGGTTTTCACACTCACAGACCAGTCCTAATCAGAATAAAACCAGGAATAAAAGATGGAAGGCTTCAGCACTGTGAACGGCAGCCAATCAGAACCACTCCATTTTTAGACAATTTAAGCCTTCACAAAGACACATGCACCTACAGGTGCCATATTTCACCAGCGAGACAATCAACCATGAACATATAGTCACGAGCGCTGACGGAGAAAGACTTGCAACTGAATTCCTGATTAATCTTCTGTGTCTGTTATCTTGGTTAAGCGTATACGGTTACATGCGCAGGATTTCTGGAGAGGGGATGTACCTATGCTAGCACAGCCCCCTGCACCGAGGGCACAGCAAAACCGGCCCTCGCTAGC